ATACTCCTTTTTGCCTCCACCTTAAATAAATGTGATTCTTTATGTCGCACATCAATGTCAAACATCCTCAAATTTAAAAGCAACACTAACTACATGTTGGTAAAGGAGTAGAAATATTTGGTCTACCTTTAGATCAGACCACTTTTTTTTTTGTTCTGTCACTGTCCATGCAGTCACACAGACACAGCTGACAGCATCAGCAGTATTGATGTGTTGCCACTTTTTTTCGCTTTCTTTTATTATGTGATCCCGCTGCTGTGGCCACCAAATAAAATCTTTCTTCAGTCCTCCACCTCCCGTTAAAGGGTCTTTAGCTCAGTCTCGGAGAAATTCCGTTTTTTGGTTCGTTTCTCACCCGTCGCCATGACTCACACAACTAGAGAACACTCGCATGCCGGCTTATTTATATGCAGATCGCATTCATGAGGTGATTTCCATGACCATTTATGGTTGAACTAGGGCGTGTAGAGGGCGGAATATGAGGCGGATCTGGGTGCGCACAACTCCAGGAGGTCTGTGATTTATAAAGAGAACATTGCGTGCAAGTGTGCGTGAGCACGGTTTTATAAATCAGATTATTTTTTGGCGCACGCCATTTTCAGCTTTTGGGCGCACGTCAACTTTTAGTATGAATCCTAAGCACTCTTTTATAAATGAGGCCCCAGATGATCTACCAAGTTTATGATAGTATATGATAATCTAACACTAAAATCTTCACTTGCAATTTAACATGCTTAAACACCAAACCACACTATGCCCACAGATCATTTTGCCTGCACCAGAACACATGTAACGTCAGTGCCTGATCAAGAAATGTGCCACTATTAGCTAAATAGCAAGCTAGCGTTAGCGTTTGTGTAATTTTTTTTGTGATACCAAATTATTACAGAATTAACCCAATAAACAGACTGATGTCCTGTCTCCAAATATATAATATTAGTACATAGCTTTATACCTGAGAACAGTATAGTGGCAGTAAAAAGTACACATGTATTTGCACTATGCTACAGTGTTGTCCATGGTCATTGGCCGACATTTCACAAGTTTGAAATGGGTTTATGGTCTTGCTTCCTCTGTGACGTAGGCAAAATGGCAACCATTGAGGGTGAGAAGTGTGTTATGTTCCACATTCAACTTTCTGATCATTCAAGCAGCAACCTCCAAGGCTGAAAAAGAAGCCTATGTGGAAGAGCCAAAAAACTGCCAAAACAGCTCCACCCTCTCATCCAAATATGGTCAATTCTGGCACCGAAAACCAAGATGGCCATGGCTGAATTCCCAAACTCGATGCTTCAGAACAGCAGTCCAATAGATGACATCACTTCCGTTATTTGTATAGTCTATGAATGCGCTTTATTTTGCTATATTTCAAAGTGTGAATGCACTTATGCACTCGAAATAGCAAGCACAAGGCCAGAAATATCTGATTTGCAGGACTTATTTAAGCCTTAGCCACTCTACCTCCAGGCTAACTCTGAACTAAGAGCCTTGCTTCCATGGCAACAGCAAGTGACACCTGCTGACCAGGGGCACCAAATGACAAAAAAAGAGGAAGATATGTCTCATGATTTGTGGCTTGGTAATAGGGTTGTGAAGCAAGCAATAAGAGGGGAGAGACCTTGGAAATATAGAGCAGTGAGGACACTGTCAGTCATCTCTGTTTGCCTAAGGAAACTGTCTGTGGGAATATTGACTGTCATCGCCTGCTGAATTTTCCCAGTAAATGATCCTTGTTACTGGTGAACTCTTCAGTGACTGAAATTGGTTTTTCAAAATGGGGGAGAATTCCAGAAATGTTTCATATACATGCTGAGGTGCTGCACTTACTGCTACCTTGTCTTATTCTTACTTTAGGTTGCATGTTGTCACTGTCCTCAGGATTCTCTACAGCACTGCAATTTATTGTCTTTTTCTCCTCATGTCATTGAGCTGCAGCATTGTCCTTAGTCATCTGAGTGGTGAGCTAGAGTTGACTGTGTAACAACTGCTGGTAAAAGGCGCAGCAGGGGACATTCACAAATCAAGCAGCTCATTTCACCGTCATTAAGTTCCAGTCATGGATATATTCTGAGCCAGTTAGCCTGAGACGTGTCTTTGGACTGCTGCTTTGCTTTAGTAATGTTACTGTCTGAGGATCGTTAGAATTACCATTGTTAACAGAGAGAGGGAGAGACGCACCAGGCGTGTTGCATGAATGTATAAAGAGAACAGCATTGGAGGCGGGGCCCCATTAATTCATACAAAAGTTTCTCAGTGGCGTTTAAAGCCAAAAAAGTTCGACTTTCCAGATATAAAATGACCTGGATCTTCTGAATCATTTGGCCCATAGAGCAAGCGCACTAGAGACTTCCACTGGCTAAGTGGCTAACTTCAGGTTTAGCGATCTGCTAACTTGAATGGAGACAAAAAAAGTTCAATTGTGCGTCTCTTCTAGACTTTCAAAATGTTCTTTGACCAAATGGATCAAACCTTGATAATAAAACAAGTCATTTCCTGGAGGTTGTGGCCCTCACAAAAATGCATCCACTAATTTACAGACATGTCTTTCCCAAATTAAGTCTATGGGAAAAAGTCCTCTGGGGCCCAATGGTATCACAAGACTGGCCTAGATGGTGTAGTTACATGATTTGGCCACTATGTCAAATTGGCTATGTTAAGTTTGGCACGCTTCCTGAGGGCCGGTTGTGTTGTCCAGGGCAGAAGTCGATCTATCTGATGAAGTGTTTTGTCCAGCCCTCCCATCATCTGCACTGGAGCAAATGTTACGCTACATCGCTATAGATGTGTGTGGGAATGTACCACATTATAAGTGTTACAATTATGTGCAGTACTTGCAATCTCGTACTTAGAAGGCAACATTTATTATTTATCAAGGCAAACATTTTCAGCCACAGTGAAGGGAGCTGACTGGGTTGACATGCCAAAAATTTTAGTTTAAAAAAAAGCCCTAATTTACCCAGAATTCATTGCAAATCAGTCCTCCTTAAAAGAACTAGACAGCTTTGTACCACAGACAAATTAAGACATCTATCTGAAGTGTGACTATAAGTTAGATATCAGGGAGGTTTCCTTTGTGGGAAATTGAACATTTTCTCACCATTGCATTTGCGATTCATCCAGTGTCAGGAAACAATAATAATCGTCAGTGTATTAAACCATGAGCTGTATTTTAAAATCCCATTACTTGACAATGCTGTATTATGTTTCCAGTTGTATTATGGAGTGGGTTGGAAGGTTACTGTCGCTAGTGGGAGCTACTGGGTATCGTTGGGATGGATTATCATTGCAGATCTGGAGGCTGCACACAGACACGTGTATGACATGTTCCTGATAGGGCTCAGGCAGCCATCTGACTTGCACTGTGCAGGTATCACCGCAGAAAGGGTCATCTGATATGAATACACTGGGATTGCTCAGACATAGTAATATCCTGATGGGTTATTGAGGCCTAAAAATAACAGTAGGGAATGTGCAGTCTTGCTGTAATTGAACCAACCACAGACATCTCTTCGGGCTTTCACAATAATGAGCAGAAGCACACACACATATGCACAAATTTGTGTCAGTAACAGAATCATAGAGGCCCCGTGAAACCCGCCTCTGTATCAGACAGACCAGAGAAAAAGAGAACAAAAAGATGAGTTGGAAAAAGAGTGCAGTAGAATGATAACTGGCTGGCTGTCGTTATGTAACCTACTGGGGGAAGAGAGCATATTGATCAGCTGCTTTCCTGCTGTTTTCTACCTCATTATCAGAAACACAAGACTGTCTTTGGTTAAGATGCAAATAAAGGTCCATCACAGAGGCACAACATGGTCTGCAGCTCGTGTTATGTAGGCAGTGAACTGGGGAGTGTTTACACTTTAGTTTCTTTAATTTGTGGTGTATGCTCTGTACATGAGGAAAAGTTCAGAAGTATTTTTCTGAATGCTTTGCATACAGGATATATATATATATATATATATATTTAAGCAATATC